GCAACATTACTAGCCTCTCTTGGCAATTCCAATGGGTTCGGGATTTAGTCCCATTTGAGAATTGTAATGGAGGAAGGGGAATGCACATGCCACTCCGCATGTTCAACGCTCGTCGTAGGAATACTGGCCTAAAAGAAGTCATTTAATAGAGGACGGGATCTAAGTAGCTTCCTGGGACTAAGGGTTTGCATCTATTACTCCTTGCCACTTTGTCTTCACTTCATTAATTACTGAAATAATTATTTGGGTTTCATCCAGCTTGTATGGAGGTAGAGGATGAATCTCGTGTTTACTTATTTGACATCTGTATACAGCCCCGTAACGAGCTTCTCCAGATGGTATGCGGATAGCGTCACTTTCCTCCAGGACACAATACTGGAGTAGTAGGTCAAGGTAGACGTCAATATTAACCCTTCTATTGGGGGGCGTTACAAATTCTTCCACCTGAAGCATATACTCTTTTTCCGCCGTGCTAAGGTTTAGCATTCTGAAAAGGAGATCAAGGTAGTTGTACTTTAAAATCGGGTTCGCTTTACACTGCTACCAACGTAGCGGCCCAGGTCTTCTCTAAGGTCGAAAGAAGGTATAATATTGGATCGGAATATGCACTGTCTATGTACAGAAGGGCTGAAGGCTACTGGCATGTGCCAAAGGCCATGGCGTCCAGCAGAAGTACAAGGGAGGAGTCTTTGGTTACCGTAAAACCAAAATGAATTGATAAATAAATAATCCACCTACAGCATTTAATGCCAGGAGATTTTGCAATAAAGTAGATAAAAATGCTGCTCTTTTAATGGGTGATCCACTTCTGACTGGTGCTACTTGAAGAACAGGCGACTTATTAGAACTGCCTGAAAAATAAGCCAACTTTTCGTTTACTCGTGCGCACGCGCACATTAAAAATTGGCTAAGAGGAGAAGGGATGGAACAGCTTGTAAACAAAATCCATTTTATTCAATAGTATCGTAGTCTGATCTTTTCCTCAAAATACATAAATCACCGAACCTATTTGAAATACGGAATCGCCTTCAAGTCAGTAGTTCTTCGAAAAAATATGCCTCTTTCTTATTTCTTTGTTGATCCTCCAGAATTTAAGAAAGGCATTAAATGACCTGGAAATATCGGCATTACTATTTAGTAGTATATGCGCCAGGTAATTCAATAAGCATGCTTTGCTGATAAGCACGGGATCTATCCGTCTGCCTGCCTGCTCTCCTCTGAGTGAGGCAAGTCCTCTCCCATTCGCCCCAGCCTGATGGACAAATTAGTCCGTTGCCCACCCCCTCTGCACCCCAGCAGTTGATAGATTAGATATGACAGAGTAATTACAGTTAACAAGACCTCCGATGCTAGTGGAGGTCTATACGCGCGTAGGTGTCGATGTAGAAAGGCCCTACCTAATAGGGAGAAAAAAGACTAGGAATGCGCTAACTCGTTCATTTACCATCATCACCACCACCACTAATACAAGCATCACCTCCTGCCTCGCCTTTGTGATTATGAGTTAACACATTTCAAGCGTTTTGACAGCTGGATGAGGAACAAGGGACAAATGAGACGAAAGACAGCCTGGGGGCGTGCAAAGGATGAAGAAGCGAAGGGGAGGAATTGATGAGAGGCAGTAATTATGCATCCTCTTTTGCTTCCTTTGCAATGAAAATCTAATTTTATCAGTGGAGTACCCTTAGTTTAACATTGTGATGACGGAAGTCACTTTCATTTTTCGTTAGAAGTCTACCTTATCAGTTGATTCACAGACCATTTGTAATGTCATTTTGGGCAGCAAAAGAAATTTTTAAATTGTGTTAAAATAGTCGAGTCTGAGGTCACTGAAAAGGGTAGGTTGTCATGGAAATAAACCAACACCAACTTTGGTTCTTATTCCTTGAATGACCTGTCTTAGAAAGAGTTATTTCACCAACACGAGGGTTCAAGAAGAGTCACCTCCTCTGTTGCCTGCCCAGAAGTTCTGTCAAAGTACTACATAGCCCAGTGACTTTACATTCGCTTTCTAGTTCATCTTCATGCCCCAATAAGGCAAGACCTTGCCTTCAAAACTTACTATTCCCAGAAATGACTGTTAGCTTACAAGTTCAGGTGACAGTTGCCTGCAGAAATACGGAGGAAACACGGAGGGTGAATATGGAGAGGCATCACCTCCCCATTTCAAAAGTTACATTTAAAAGGTAAGATTTACGCTATGGTATAAAAGGTAACGCAATGTCTAGTAATATGCAGAAGTTTCTTCCAACAGATTCACTAGTCTTGGCTGCTTCTAAAGAAAACATTTTCGACATTTTGCAATCAAATTAACGTCTTATCGTAGAGCACACAAGCTGTAATCACGTCTACCACATTTGATAGTCATTTTATGATGAGAGGACCGTGAAAGAGAAAGAAATGTTAGGAACCATGGTCGAGGATACGTATCTGTCTATGCTTGGGTGTAAACAAGGACCTACAAGAGATGGGTAGCCATTGCAGCGAGGTGCTTTGAAAATTCCGCTAAGTTTCCTCTTTCGCTGATTGTTTTAATGTGTGTGGATTCCACTGGCTTCACAGAAAAGTTGCTTAAAAAAACCGGTCATGCCTGATATAGACAAGAATAACGTGATTCAGTATCTTTTAAGCTTATAATGAGGAAACCAATTACAGTTCATATTCACTTGTTACGCCTACTTGTAAATAGATCAGTAGAAAATGAGCATAGGAACATGGAATTTCTACGAAAAATTATGTAAAATTGACCAAAAATTCTAGTGCCTTCTCTTTTTCGTGGTACTGACAAGTGTTGAGTAGGAATTGAGTTTAAGCAATCAAACAGAATGGATTAAATAATATGGCAAGAGGAGGTGCCACATTCGCCCCATTATTTCACAAACTTGCTGAACACCAATTTTCGGATACGATCATAGCGCCACAAATGTGTGACACTTTCCTTATCGGTATACAACAGCTGGTTGCACAAAATCATGTCGCGTTACAAACAAGTTTGTTTTGCTTACACGGGTATTTTGTACCTCTGCTAAGCAGCATAACCTCCAGGCTGAGGCAGTGCCGCTTCCCCTAACCCATCTGTACGTCAGGAATACATATTCTGTCCTATTATCGTGCCTTCTTTTGGCTTCGGAGAAGATTTGGGTTATTGCATTATGGAGGAAAACATGGCCATAGCTAAGGAGGTCGGTTGTCCTCTGACATCCTGACAGTAAACGGAATCTACCTGTTATAAGCAGGTATAAGCTGCACACAAGTATCCCAATTGTTAGGTTAGCAACCTAACCAACTTAATTTTTACTTAGAATAACTGTTTTCTAAGATAAACTGCAAAGGAAAATACGAATAAAAGATCCCACAAAGTGGGTTTATCGGCTAAAGTAACAGTTGAATAAGACCCATTCTCTTTTAAAACTGATGTGTCATCAAAAATACATAAAATGCGTTTTCCTCCTTAAGTGTTTCATGGTTAAAATATTTAATCCTAACCAGTTTAAAAATCTTTAAAATTTCAGTAGTACACATTACAGGTCCACAAAATGTTCAAGTTATCGATAAAATGCTTCAACAGACACGTCATTTTTTAATTTCATGGAGGTAGCGTATACATGGGCACTTCTTGCCCGGCGAAAACATCAAATCTGCAAAAGTCCAGATTCGCTGCATTTTATAAACAAGTTTCCCCACCCAAATACACATTAGCAGCATCCTCCACGCGGGATATTTAACATCATCAGGCGTTTTCATGGCACAAAAAATCCACGATTCTCTTAGCGCCCTCCTGCCGCTGTGATTACGAACTAAATAAACCACAAGACGTATTCTTATCTCAGCCTACTGACACACATATTTCTGGTAATTTCTATTGGTCTTATCTGGGTCGCTGGTGGAGGCACACACCAATTAGAAGGGGTGACCCAATTTCGCTGCTGCCCGGTAGCTGATTGGCTCATACAGCTGCATTACAAGTGAGCTTAGGGATTTACGCCACTGATTGACACTTTTTGACTAACAATGCATTTGATAAGATATTACTCTGAATTTTGAGGCATTAAATTTCAAAATATCAAACCAAAATAGTAAGCAGCTAATCAGTGTAGCTTAGGATCGGCAAGTCGTATACCACCTCCTTGGTAAGATTCTAACTAGAGTTATTAAATTTAACGAACAATTTGTCATAATTAAATGGATCCATACGTCAACTTAGATCAAGCTCATGGTCTAAGCGAAACGGCATTGACTGTTTGACATACCAAAAAACGGCAAGAGCGGGAAAATATAGTAAAACTGTGATATCTTGGGGAGAATACATTATTCTTCATTTACTTGGAGTTAGAGAGGTTCTTTTAGTAAATTAGCATAAATTTGACGCTCAAAGTGTTTTCATTTCAAGAAATTAAACATCGGCCAATTATTTTAAGTTAAAAGACATTTGCAGCATTCCCCAACCCACCAGATTTAAGTTGAGTACTTACATGTCATTATCGTCTCCTTCATCTAGCCCGCTTCGTGATGCGTAAGCAGTGAGAACTAACCTCACATAACCCTAAGTAGTTCCTCCTTACCATCAAATAAATTTTATAGGAGCTACCCGACTGATTTCGTCAGCTGCTAAGTTAGAAAAAGTCAGTCAAACGACTTGGGTCAATCCTTAAAATCCAGGCCCAAATGATTCAAGTATCAAGGCATTGATAGTTAGGATCCGGTATGACAAACTTGAGATCAATTGGAACAACTACGACAGTAGCAACAGCAGCGGTCTTCCGTCACCGCGGATCGATCGCTCGAACTGCACCCTCCAATTTCGCGCGCATCGCATGCATGTGTGTCTGCACGCGCCACTTCCAACCAATGGAGTGGGATGGGGGAAGTCGAGTGCCGCACACATACACTGAGGCAAGGAGGCTAGCTTGCGTGCGTGGGTGAAATCTCGAGTCTCGGAGAGGGCACACGACGGCAGCAACGCAGAAGCACACCGCATACGGCGCTGCTGAACTCCGAGGATGTTGCAACCTCGGCTGAGGGCGCTGCTGATTCTGCTCTTCACAGCCCTCGGCTGCGTCAATGCCTTGGAACTATCTCCTCATGGCAGCCAACTGCCGCCAGGTAGGCATTCCGCTCCTCATTATCTCCTCCACTTTGAGTTTGTCTAACCTTTCATCTAGTTTAATTCCTCGACTTCCCAGATGTTTTAAATGTGAAAATATTTCTGTTTATTAGGAAAGCAGGAACTATTCCGAGCTTATCAGCATCTCCTCTCTCTAATTTAACTACCTAATTCTGCAATTATAACAGAAATAAGTGGGGAAGGTAGAACTGTTTCATAAGGTGTACGTAATCCGGAGCAAATTCGCAGTATCCAGAAAGTAGACATTCCATTTTAAGCTGCATAACTGACCCTCTAAAGTTGTACTCTTAAATACTTCCACTTGAAGTGATGCCTCAGAACTGTGACATTGTGATTTAGAAGCCAAATCTCATCACTACTCGATTAGCCGGAGAACAAGGTTAAATACACGATATGAAAGAGGTAGAGAACAAATTAACATTCCTAGAAGCTTATTGTATTTCCTCTGTTAATGGAAGTAGGTGGAATCCACCTGCTTAACTCTCAACTCCAACATTAAGAACTCACTTTAGACATGATATGATCATTGTAACTTAGTTTTTTAATACTCACTACTGAAAATTGAGGATCTTTGCACCCTAAAAGGAGTAATTTAACACTGAGAACGTCGTTTCCACCATTCATTCGTGGAGACGCGTTCTGCTACCACATACCGCACCCTCCTCAAATGGCATGTAAAGAATTTGACGAGATGATTCTGCAACTCTCCGACTAAATTTAATCTGTGTTGTTAAGCAGACAAGCTCTCATTGCTTCTATTAGCTTCAACTGGCATTTTATAATGTAAGGATTGAAAACAAATGGGTGCTGTTTAGGAGCATAATGGATGATATGCTCCCTTTTGAGGCCGATACTGGTTTCTACTGAATTTTGACTTTGTTTCAGTTATTGCTTACATTACCTTGCATTGACTAATTCATTCCCTGGAAAACTAATTGCGACTGATAGCAGGTAACAGGTGGCTCTGAAGGTATTTGAACTTCCAGACTCATCTAAGAGGTTATTCGCTTATACTACTTAGTCATGAGTAGCATTTCGAAGGATCTGAACATGGACGCAGGTCCAACAATTTGACTCCTGATTATTAATTAAGTGGTAAGGGGAAGTTTTTTATTATTTATGGCCTAAAATGGCAAATTCTAAGCAAATAATGCCATAGCCTGCTTAAGTTTGAGTACATGCTATAAATTTAGCGCCATATCCTCCCTGGTCGGTAGTTAGATATCGGATTAAGGTTGATAATTTGGTATTTCTAGAACACAAAGGGGCCAGTAATTGAATTGTTTGGTGTTTTGGGTTAAAAATCCCATTGAAGAAAAAAGGTCTTACCTAAGTGTGTCCGGAATTTGTATTTCTAGCAGGGACTTAAACAACCATTATTAACCGACCATGTTTGCTCACCGTATCATTCCCTCCACAAGGTTATTTCTTTCAGCAAATATCTTACACGCACTTTGAGAAGCTCTTTAGATCTCGCTATGTACTTATTTCTGCTTTGCAAAATCACTCGGATTTGTCTACTACGACTTATCTTCTGTCCTTTCAAGGAAGTGTGGATTTTGTCACTGCATTCAAACTCGATCAACTAGTGGGTTCCAGCGTGCGGAAACACGCCAGCGCTTGTGACAATGTAGGAGCAGCCTTCTCCTATGTGGCTAGTGACAAGCTCTCTAGATCCGCAAAGACCTTCTTTCCTGGTGAGGGTTACTATAAGGCAGCCTTAGTCTGCGCGTGTACCCTTGTTTCCGTCTAACACTAACTTTACTCCTCACTGCTAGACGGCCTCCCAGACGCCTTCTCCATCATGGGCCTGGTGAAAGTGGACACCTCTGGCAGACCTCAGACCCTACTGGAAGTCCGTGATGCCTCGGATGGAGAGATCTTGAGTCTCACTTTGGACAGTCAACTCGTCTTTAAATTGTCGGAGACTCCAGAAGTTGTCAACACAATTCGCCTAAATCACACTCTGACTGGTGATGGGTGAGTAGAATTACTTGATTACATTGCTGAACGATACACATAAGGCATTTTAGGTGGTAGTTTAAAAACTTGTTTAGCTGGAGATCTGGGAGTTGATCAGAAGTTGGTACGATTTCAATGGCTTTTTTAAACAGCCCTTCATATGGAATGGTTTCGGTACAAAATTTCGATCTAATATCTAGTCGGTAAAATTAGCCTTCTCATTCTGTTGGGCTGCGATCAGCAAAGCCACCATCACTGTAGGGTCCAGGTTACCTCTGACGATATCATCAAGCATACTAGTTAAAACTTACGCTTTTTAAACTGCAAAAAAGAGATGAGAGACCCTTAGCACAAGAATCATTACAATAGCCCCGTTTCCTTAAAGAATAGTCGAAAATAGCTACAATTGAGTAAGTTTTTATCAGTCGCTTTTGCCTACAAGCATAAAAGCAGATTTTAGCTGTATAGCAGATCATATTTTTTACTTATAAGTCACTATCGGGATATTTTCTGGTTGATCTTCATCCACTTGCCACAAATCAACTTCGTTGTGTTTAAAACCAGTTAACTTAGAGAAAGTCAGATTTTAAATACTGTCCGATAGACAAATTTTAATCTCTAGTAGACAAAATTGTGGGTGATAGTTATGATTACTTGAGCTATATACATCTTATTGCAAAAATTTAGCCTTTGTTTCCAAACCAATCTAGTTGGTCCTCGATCGCTCTGAGCGTAAAGGGTGATACCTTAGTGTTGATGTTAAACGGTGTAGAGCAGGAATACACTACTCTGCATCGAAGCAACTCAGATCCCTCAGCCATCAGCGATGGAAAAGTGTTCCTCTTGCACGGCCAAGAGGGTCAAGGCTCTCGGGATGTAAGCGGTGTTACTCATTTCCCCTGAGCAGCATTCGTCCTACGTATATATTGAACTCGGTAATTTTTCACAGGCCGTTATTGGCGATCTCATGTTTTCACCGGATCCTGAGCAAGCCTACAGCTATCACCTACGCCTGCTTGAAGTCTGTCCCCACTTGGAGCAAATGAATAATCGTGATGTTATGATGGCTCAGGAGGGCGCTTTTGAAGAGGTAGGTGACTGTAGTCCAATTCCCCCTAATTCATGACAATGCTGATTAGGAGAAGAATGTAAAGACTGGCGTGGGCAAATAATTATTTAAAAAGGGATATCGTTGTGCACCAGTCTTCTCCTTTTGGTGACACAAGTACTTAAGCAAATAGCAACCCACTGTGACAGTTGATATGATAAATGGACTGCTTATTTCATTCGTGAGCGTCTTCACTAGGTAAACTGCGTCAGGGAGAGATCCATTAAGAGAGAAGTGCTAAGGATCGGACTGGATTTTAGAGCGAGTGTATTCTGAATTCCAATGGTCTTTTCCTAACACGTCCACCGGAAAGCAACAAGGAGACCACCGTGTCCACGTAAATGACTATTTTAGCTCTCTCAAATGTAGTTCCCCACCCAATGCGTCAAACTCCTAATGTGAGGTCCCACAAGTCAACGCTAAATTTAAAGCATTCCATTTATGAGTTTATGTTTAAGGAGCTCGTCACAGTACATACTCACCTTCTGCCACTTTTCGTACAAATTCGGGCCAGAAGAAAGCAGGATTACTCTTCTTATGGAACAAGTTTGCCAATGCCACCAATAAGCAAACAGAGGCAGCCATGTTAGAAACGTACAGATGGATTAGAAAACTTTTAGGACAATGTGCGCTTAACTCCCCCTTCCTGTCGCATACGTTTAGTAGGAAACGAATGGTCACTGCCCTTGAGCAATTGTATGGAGACGATTCACAGTTCTCTAACAGAATACACTTGATTTTCTTCTAAAAAAGAACTTCAACATATTTTGTCTTATTTGCCAGATCGACGGACAGGTGTACATTCAAGTAAGTTTAATGATGGCAAGCTTTAAATTCGAAGTCTGTGTTACTCCTTAAGCTGATGCCACTTTCTTACGCTTTTCAGGGACCGCAAGGGCCGAAAGGTCCACCTGGGCCTAAAGGGGCAAAGGGACCACCTGTAAGTTTATGCTTCACTCTTTACAGGAAAATTGGGTAATTAACGACACAAAATTTTTTTATCCCAAATAAATGAGGTAATTGTAGGAGTTTTTATGACACTTATTTTGTGATACCTCAAGTGTTCATGTGCGACTTTATTGAGACCTATTCAGGTAGGATAAAATGTTGTATTTAACATTGTATTTCAAAAAAATTCCCCTTTTAGCATAAACAGTCAAGATTTGTACAAATCATTCAATATTTTGGAAATACAGGGTCGTGACGGCCGTCCAGGTCTACCAGGCGCCCCTGGACCCCAGGGTTCGCCAGGTCACGTCCTCCTAATGCCGGTACCTTCCCATGGCAAGAATGAGAACGTTAGAATGACTCAGTTCCGAGCTGCCGTCCAACAATCTGTGGTAAGTCGGTGTTTGAAGGCTCTTTCCTGATGTTAACCTTTCACCTACTTCTGAAGTCGTAATAAAGTTTGCGAGTAGTGAGATAGCTTAATTGTAGCTTTGAAGAACGACTGAGAGTCTAGTAGCAAAGATCCCATAAGCACAATTCATTCACAGAAGTAATGAATAAATCGCCAGAGACTAGTTTCCTTCTATTGCAAAATTTTTATGTGCATTGTTCCAACTGAGGACTTTGTGTGTGATCTCCTTCTAGATGATGCTGAGAGGTTCACGCGGTATGCCCGGTTTGACAGGTCTTCCTGGCGCTCAAGGACCACCTGGTCCACCTGGCCCCAAGGGTGACCAGGGACCTCAAGGTGACCCTGGTTTTACTGGACCTGTTGGTCCACGAGGTCATCCTGGACCTAGAGGACCTATTGTGAGTCTATTTGTCTGAAATTTCCCCTTTGGGGCTACAATTCATAAGGCAGTCTTGCTCATTTAAGATTGGCGAAACCGGTTTTACACTTTTTCAAAAGATCAATTAATGCAAAATTTATTACTAAAGCAGGTTCTGTGACTTTCCACTGCTTCATTTTTAAGGGTCGTGCGGGTCGTGATGGAGAACCAGGTGTGACGGGACTGCAGGGTCCCAAGGGAGATCCAGGTGCCCCTGGTCTGCCCGGTTTGCCCGGACCCCGTGGCCACAAGGGTGAGGATGGTCCTCCTGGTGAGAAAGGTGCCCAAGGCGAACGCGGTCCCACAGGTCCCACTGGACGACAGGGTGAGACCGGTCCCACCGGCGAACAGGGTCCCCCTGGGTATCCGGTGAGTAATTGGCCTTCAAAATATTTGGTTTTTTATTGGCTTATGGTATCTATTTTTTCCTGTGCAACTTTCAGCAAAGTTAACAAATCCAACTGCAGTTCACTTCACCACAAATTTTGCCTGTTAATTATTTAAATCCTTTCAACTTCTGAGTAAAACGCACCAAAACGCCTACATAAAATAAATTTCCCATCTACGTGGAATCCGATCATCTAAACTTTCGATGATTCTAATTGCTGAATTCTAATTTCCTCCCCTCCACAAACAGGGTCCAGCCGGTCCACCAGGCCAGCCGGGCATTCGTGGCCTCCCCGGTCCTACTGGTCCACCTGGACCAAAGGGTGATATGGGTGACACCGGTCCAGTAGGTCCCACCGGTCCTGCCGGTCCCCCTGGTCCAGCCGGTGTAGTGGGACCGCAAGGCGAACGCGGTATCCCCGGTATGCCTGGGCGTCGCGGAGATCCCGGTGTCACTGGCACGGCTGGGGCCACTGGTCCCACCGGCAACCCTGGTGCTCAGGTAATTTCTTTCTTTAAGGACTTGTAATGTAACTACTTAGCTTCAGAGTTGGGATTTATTCCAATTTTCAACCCAAGTCATATTACAGGCTCTTTAAATCACTTTCCCTCCCATTTGGATCAGTAATTGAACCAATTAAACAATTGCATGAGGTATCCACATTGGTAGCTTTGAATCGCACTTTTCAAATGAGTTAATGCTAGGCATCAACCTGTCGGAAGTGCTGACATAGTGCACATCAGAGTTTGATAGTAGATTTCATAACTTGTATTGCAGAAGAGGTTGAACTGCCACAGTTGTCAAACTGTTCATTTTTTTTTTTTGATGCCGATATCCTAAAGTGTATTTTAAGAATTTTAGTCGTCTTTTTCTCAAAACAGGTTGTTTGCAATGTTGAGCCCGGGAAACCTTAAAAAAGTTAGAAGGCATACGAGTTTGAAAGAACTTTGACAAGATAGCTGAATGATGATTAAAGCCTCTATGGGCTTGGTGTTTGCTCGCCTGCCACGGCTATCACATTTAATCAGGTGATTCAAAATAAGCTATAGGACTAAGAGAAATCCACTTACTCTTTAAATGCACCTTAACTTCTGAATAGGGTGATATCGGTCCCAAAGGCGATGACGGTCAAGAAGGTCTACCTGGTGATGTTGGGCCAATGGGACCAACTGGTTTCAAGGGTGATAGAGGAGCCCGCGGTCCAGTGGGCCCCAAGGGTACCACCGGAATTGCCGGCATGACAGGTGTTGCCGGTGAACGTGGTGATCGTGGCGATACCGGTGAACGTGGATTTCCAGGTCCTGCCGGTCCCGAAGGCCTCTCTGGTGAGAAGGGTGAACGCGGCCAGGTTGGTCAGGCCGGTCCTCATGGTCCCGATGGTGAAAAGGTATTTTCTTCCTTACATCTGGTGACCATCACTTTTTGAGGAAAATCTCATTTAAAGGCGAGGGATTAAACATCGTTTTCAGGGAGCCCAAGGCCAGATGGGACCACCAGGCTACGCTGGGGCTCCAGGACCCAAAGGATCGGTTGGTCCGGTCGGTCCAATCGGACGCGACGGCGAAAAAGGTGATGCGGGACCAATTGGACCAATCGGAATGCGAGGTCCAGTAGGTCCTACTGGACCTGCAGGTCCACGTGGAGCCCCTGGACCCTCCGGACCTCCCGGAGCTCGTGGCGACGAGGGTTCTGCTGGCCCTATTGGTCCATCGGGTCCAGCTGGACCTGCAGGACCTCGTGGACCTCTTGGATTTACCGGTCCTGTTGGACCAACAGTGCGTTAACTGAAGAAATTACCTGTTTTTATTTAATTGTAATTGGATCTTTGGGGACTTATAGGGTCTTCCAGGAGTTCACGGACCTCCGGGCGATATTGGTGAGCGTGGAGAGACTGGAGAACGAGGTCCGCCTGGTGAAGTTGGTCCTGATGGTCTGCCAGGTCCAACTGGACCTACTGGAGATCAGGGGCCAACTGGAGAACCCGGACCCAGGGGTCCTCGGGGACCTATGGGACCTCCTGGCAAACCGGGCAAGGAGGGCAGTGAGGGGGAGCCGGTAAGTTGTCAAATTACTCATTTTGCTCTTATCAAGCGATTGGTAGAAGTTCGAAGCAGTATGCTGAATTATCCACCTTCAGGGCGACAAGGGCGACCAGGGTCCACCTGGACCTTCCGGAGCCACCGGACCGACGGGATTCCGTGGATCTCGAGGCCCACCTGGGCCGAGAGGAAAGCTCGGTCCTAAGGGCGATATGGGCAAGCCCGGTATTCAAGGTCCCATTGGGGACAGAGGTGATCGGGGAGATGCTGGTCCTAGAGGTCCTCCTGGTCCATCTGGACCCCAAGGTGCACGAGGACCTGATGGACCTCAAGGAGAAACTGGGTGAGCACTGGGTTATTCCACCATTTATTTTAACAATTATACAGTGGCTTGACCAATCGTCAGTAAAGATGAGTCAGCTACCTATCCGATGGGGTACAGCATCTTCGCCATTGTCCTACCCTAAAGCGATATGATTGTTGATATTTTGAACCACAATTTAAGCGGTATATAGGAACTTACATTTAAACAAAGGTTTCCGCCGTTTGGATTACTAGATATTTTAATTTTTGAACTGCAATATATAACCTTCAGCAGTCATTTTGGGATCGCTCACAGTACAAAGTCGACGTTTAGTGGTCACACCAATTCAACCAGTTAGCACCACCTTTATGTATTAAAGTCGTATTAAATTACCAAAATTGTTTATATTGCTTCTTTTGTATTACAGAGATAAGGGTGACGCTGGTGTGACCGGTCCAGTGGGTCCGGCTGGGCCAAAGGGAGTCCGTGGACCTCGTGGTAAGCCCGGGCCCCTGGGACCTCCCGGCATTGATGGTCAGAAGGGTGACCAAGGTCCCGATGGTGAAGCCGGACCCAAAGGTGATCGTGGAGCACCTGTAAGTTAGCTTTTCAGACAGTTCTAGCACTAATTTAGGCATTTAAATTACCAATGAACACCTAGTAAGCTAGCAGCTTTTCATGCTTAAAATTAAAAGCATCCTGCATTTACCAATCCACTAAAGGGCGAACCAGGGCCTCAAGGAGGACAGGGAGTAATGGGACCTCCAGGAATCCCAGGCATTCCAGGTGAACCTGGGGAACCAGGTGAAACTGGTCCCCAAGGTCCAAAAGGTTTGCCCGGTAAACGCGGTCCCGTCGGACCGCCTGGACCAATAGGTCCACCTGTAAGTCCATATTTTAACCAAAGGAAAAGCATAAATTTATATGTGGATGGGTGCTTGATGTTCCCATTGTCACAATTAAAATTTTCAGGGTCCCCCCGGTCCAGTCGGTCCTCGAGGTGAACAGGGAGACAAGGGACCGCAAGGATCTATGGGAATCCGTGGTCCACCGGGTCCCGCAGGTCCGGGAGGCGCTGCTGGCGTGCGGGGTCCTACCGGTCCCCCAGGACCAGCCGGACCTCCCGGCTCCAAGGGTGAGACCGGTCCCATTGGTCCACGTGGTGAAAAGGGCAAGAAAGGTTCCGATGGTCTTCCCGGTATGGCCGGAGTCAAGGGCTCTCGCGGCAAACGTGGTCCTCAGGGACCAACAGGTCCTATCGGTATGACAGGACCGCCTGGTCCGCCCGGTGAAATGGTAAGCCAACATGGCAAGTAATAAATGCTAAACTTAGAAAAAGTTTTTATAGGTAGTCTGTTCATATAAACGGCTGAATGAATGAAAAGTCGCGGCACCAAGAGAGCGGCCAAAGCTTGCTCTGAGTGAAAGGCCCAGAAAATGAGTTGAAGCAAATGTCAACTTGTTTCAATTCCCTTTAAGCGTTGTCTTTATCAGTCCCATTGGTTATCCCTCCAAGTTAGTTATTATAATGCAGATTGTGATTTACAAAATATTCATGAGGGAGAAATGGGGACATTTGATCCAATTCTCTGCACAAGGAGGGTCAATGCGCTTCAATGCATGAATTTTATACGTTAATCACTATTCTTAAAAAGTTTGCCATAAAAGAAGATAGCTTAGTAATTCGTAATATGCAATATCTCTAGAAAGCTAATATTTTATACCCGTTCTAGGGTCTACCCGGACCCAAAGGTTCAATGGGTGCTCCAGGACCCAGTGGAGAACGTGGAGCACCTGGGCCTGCTGGAAAAGAAGGCCCTCCTGGGGCTCAAGGTTCTGAAGGACCAATGGGAGAAGAGGGATCACCAGGCCCCACAGGATTGGCCGGGGAGTCGGGTGTTCAGGGCCCTGTCGGCGCTGAGGGTGAGTTAGGACCCCCTGGTGATCGTGGAGATAGAGGAAAACCTGGGGATAGAGGTCAGCGTGGTCCGCGAGGTCAACCGGGTCCAGCTGGACCCATTGGGCAGACGGGTGAACGCGGTCCTGCTGGCGAAGCTGTACGTTCACAAGATGTTAAAAAAAGCTATTGTTCTAGTCTGTCACACTTGCTCACCTCTACTTTAACATTTTAGGGGCCTCAAGGGCCTATTGGCAGTACTGGCAAGAAGGGACGACGTGGACCAAAGGTATTTGAAAGTTGTTTTGTTCCCAAAAACCTAAATTCATGACGTTTTGTGCTTCATTCCTGGCGCTCTTCATGGCTACTCCTTTGCTTCAGTTGTTAGGAGCCTTCTGGTGAATGATAATCGTAGTGCTTAGCTCCGCGGACTTAAGAGGGGTTCCTAAAAATTACGTTTATCCTTGGATAATCAGCAATGGGGATGGAGTATTATAAGCCATGGTGGTTTAACTTAGGCGATATTAGACAGCGTGCTCATAAAATAAAATGACTGCACCTGATCTTGTAGGGACCAATGGGACCCATGGGTCCGAAAGGTGACACAGGTGACCGCGGAATTCGTGGTAATCCAGGCAGCGTCGGTCCAGAAGGTCCCAAGGGAGAACCTGGTCCTCCTGGTGATCGGGGTCCTGAGGGCAAACAGGGAGAGCCCGGACCAATGGGCGATGAGGGTCGCAAGGGCGAGACTGGCCCAGCTGGTGATGACGGTGAACAAGGTCCCGTGGGTCCCACGGGCCCGTCTGGACCCCAGGGTCTGCAAGGTACACGGTTTTCTGTAGTAATGGCATGATTTGCACCAGGTGTGATTGCAATCATCTACTGTGATTTTCCCGCGTTTGCATCTATGGTGTCGCAATTTAGAGGACGGAATGAGTGCTACTTGGAATTTTTATTTAGCTTACTAACAAGGCATGTGACATAGAATTACCCTATGTTAAGCCCTAAAGATCCTAAGCAAATTCTTTGAGATTAACAAAGCCGTTTGGATTTGAGCGTCCTCGTGGAGTCTACCAGAGACTCCTATCATGACCGTATTCGAAAAAGCTGGAATTAATCGTGAGACGAGAATGTGGATCGTGCGATTAGCTTAGTGTTAAGTGAAGGTTCTGGAATCAAATAATGGTAGTGCATCTTGTAGACTCTTACACATTCATCCTCCTTGTAAACTGGATTCAAGGGATTCATCTTCTAATGTTGGCTTAAGATTGGAAGATGTTTTGCAGTGAGAAATTTTGGGGTGCTATTCGCCTCCCTTGAAGCGAACTGGTTTGAATGTAAACTCGCTAAACAAAGTACGCGGCATTGTCCCTGATCCCGCTCCCTTCATCTACTTAGATTTCAGTGGCTTATAAACAATTCCCCTTTTAGAGGATTCGAACTCTTTCAATGCACCTATCACCTCACATAACCTGAACTTCGAGTGACTATGCTATGACTCTGTTCTCATTCAGCTATCCGCATCAGATGACGTTAATTTGTAAAATTTTTTTTCGCATAAAAGACATTTAATTCAATTCTACATAAGTTTCTTCTGAAGCATCAGTAAAAGCGGTCATGAAGGTGCACTGGGTGCATATACTAAGATAAATATCATCGCAAATCTATTCGTGATCATTGAAACAACTAAATGCCAAATTTTACTGACAATACTATGTTAGCATCTTCACTGATTACTGACAATAAACCACTTGGAAACACACACTACAGCATCTGCTAAGTTGGCAGCACGGTAAGCCGTGAAGGACCTATTGCAAGTGACCGAGAGAGTGTAGTACTGGTCAAGCGGAAGCACGAACCTTGTTTGCATGCTTGACCCGACCTTACGAGTTTTCCCACCATTCTTTGTGCACTAAAGCATCCCAAGCACCAAGCCTTCTTTGCTGATACAGTCCCCTTTTCTTCTTCTTTTACCTTCCATAATGGCGTTAAAGGTCCACGCGGTGAGCGAGGTCCAGCGGGTGACCCCGGACCCCAAGGTCCACCAGGACCCGCGGGTCAGGTAAAGATCCTTAACGCACCCAACGATGTGGAAGACACTCTTGGTCGCAAGCGTCGGCAGGCTCCCGATCCCAACCAGGGTAAGGAGTGTGCTTCTAGACCACTAATCGCTTTGTTTGCTTTTTAATCAGCCTTCACCGATTTAGCTAGAACATGAATTGGAGAACTTTGGAATCCACATTTATTTTTTGACCATATCGGATTTCGATAGGTGCTGTCATTTACCATTTGATGCATCAAGGAGAGCATCGGGAATGTTAACTTTGTTATAACTTGTTTTAAAAATATTTAATGTTAAAATCCACTACTGAAAATAATTTTTCTCTTCACTTGCTCCCTTACCTACTTTACTTGGACAAGTTTCCCTCTCTATCACTCACCTCTGGACCGTCATGGGAAGTCCTTAGGATACCGGTTTTTCTTCTTATTATTTAGTAACTCTTTAGGAATAAAAGATTTATTTTTAAAAAATCACCAATCATATAAGTCGTCCGCTTCCCTTTTTGCCTACTTCTAGTTTAATTTCCTCAATCACTATCTGATCAAATCTTCACTAAGGTTTGGGAAGAGTCACATACAGCAATGGAGTTTTGCCCCACTATTTGGTAATTTTGCTAACAAAAAATCGTAAATTTTGGGAAACGGTGCTCACTCAGCAGTTAGGTCATTATTTCTTCAATCAGACAGTTTTAAATGCGGATTGATTCTTTTCTCGTGGGGGTAGTCATGGTTATTTGGGACAAGTGAAGCTAGATCATAGTCGCCGAAGACCATCCACTTATTCCTTCGTCAAACTTAAGCTCCTATTTTTTAAGAAGTTAAGGTGTCCAGTTGTCATTTTAGGAAAAGTTGTTTAAAATGAATGCCCCAATCGACTATTAGAGTTTACCTACATGAGATTTCCTATTCCCAACCTTTTAACAATGTTATTCGATTTTGCACCTAAAGAATTTCATTTTAAGTCTAAAAGATTTCAAAGCAATCGTTGTAGCTCATTAAATCTTTTTTGGAGTCGAAAGAAGTCATAACAATAGAGCAAAACATATATTATTGACAAAGACCATGCAGCCAAGTGGAAGTATAATAGCGGAACCCTGATTGCCCACATAACCACAACAGAGTTAAGCAAGCAATCACAGTATTACACAGCCCTTCTTTTCATCTGATCGTCGTACTAAGCAATTTCCCTCGGTTAACCTCTCGCGTCGTCCATTAAAAAGTTGACGATGCTGTAGGCAAGACAGTTACAAATTAACCACTCCAGGCATCGAATTTGTGTCGAAATGAGAAGATATCTCAGTGTGCAGTTAATGATTTCTCTTGGTGATTCCAATGGATCTGGAGTTTTAACCACCTTGGGAAATATGGTGGAGGAAAAAAAACTGTGCTGGTTATCTCATATGCCTGTCTTTCGCCGTAAGAACAGCGGCCTGAAAGCATTCATTTAATATGGTTTGGGGCTTAAAATAGTTTAATGTGCATATGTTTTTGCTCTTATACCTCACCACTACGTTGTTCTCACTCCATAGGTGCCCATTCACAATGCCCATCTGGATCCTACTTAGCCTATAAAGGGGCAGGGGAGGTTTCGCGTGTTTACTTAATTGACATCCTCACAAGAGTACCGTAGACAACTCCATAGCGGACTTCCCAAGGTGGCTCATGGGTAGCGTGGCCTCAGCTATTAATAACATTCCCACAGAAGATTGAACTGGGGTAATTGCTAAAAGGTAGACGTCATTTTCAATCTTCCTCCTAGGCGTCTTTGCAGGCTCTCCCCTCTGCAGCATTGTGGAATGGAGATCAAAATAGGTTTTTTAGTATTGTGTTTGCGTACCACTAACACAAATGTACGACCCCAAGACTGCTCCAAAGTCAAAAAAAACATAATGCTTGAACAGAATATGCAATTTTGGAGTAAGAAATTGCTGAAGCTGTTGACATGGTCCGGGAGTCATGCCTCCCAGCCTTCAGTGCCTGCGAAACCAGAGCAAAGAATTAAGCACATGGTCAAGCTTTTACACTAATTCTGATGACCAGATGCCCAATTATTCAATTTTAAAAACAAAAGAGAAGGATTTGTTAGATTTATTATCTGTAATTTCTGTAGTTATTTTATCCTGTTACGATCTATTTCTATAGTGATTACCCTGCCTGAGTTAAACAAGGCCCTGTTCGAACGTATTGACAAGTTATGGAAGGAGGCGCAGCGTCTGCTGAAACCATCGGGCAATAGTCAGGAGTACCCAGCACCAAGCTGCAAGGACATTAAGCTGAACAACAAGTTTGCTCGTAATGACACGTAAGTTAATCGACTTCAAAACTGCCTAAGCTTTAATTGGATTGTGGTTTGATCAGAGTCACTTCGGCTGCGTCAAAGACGAGTAGCACTGCAATCGGTTTCGTTCGACGCCTAGCAAGCCTCCATATACTGTTCACCTGAAGGGCGTAGGTGGTGCTTTTAACATAAATAGGCCCCATGGCAACACTTCTGCTTCAGCGAGACAATCGCAAGAAGGTTTTTCTAAATATAACCTCTTCTGTTGCACCAACTGCGCTAGCGAAGACTTACTTGTAAAATACTAATAAATGCCTAATAATATACCGCATAGTAGATATTTTGTTGGGAATAGCGTTCCTTTGAATGATAACCATAAACTAGTGGTCTTGATGGCCCCTCTGCCATAATTTTCCGTAATTTTATAACCACTTTGTATAAATTTTAGATGTAGTATCACCTCAGGCAATTATTGGATAGTTTAGGGGAGAAATTTTACAAAAAATCATTGTGAATCATTTAACTATCACACCTGACCATTGATTGCCTACGGTTTTTAGTGTCTCCACATGGAGGGAAAAGTCTATTCTCTACTCGAAACCTAAACCAATAGTGCATTTTTTCAGCTACTGGATTGATCCCAATGGTGGTTCATCCTCGGACGCTGTTAAGGCGGAATGCATCTTCCACGAAGATGGATCCTTTGAAACCTGCCTCTCAACTGGTGTTGCATCGGCAAGGCTGTTTTCTTTTCGTCTCAATTAGATTGTTACTTATTTTATCACTTATTGGAACAGGCAATAGTAACTTCAGAAAGAGAGTTTTAGTCAGATTAACACTAAAATATATTTTCTTGACCTATCATTACTTATTTGTTCTTAGGAAAATCTTGCAACTTACAAGAAGCCGCATTCCAGCAATCCCGACTACTGGCAAAGCCATCTACTTGTCGAAAACGGTATTAGCCCTCCAGATGTAGGTTTTGATTTTCTGACACTGCTCACACTGTCTACTTCTTCTCCTAAAAATAGCACTCTTTTGCCCATTGAACTAGCTCCATGATCAGAGTCCACACACGCAGATGAACTTGCTGCGCATCCAGCACCGATACGCCACACAAGAACTCGAGTTCTTCTGTGAGGGCACTACCATCTTTGGAGGCGATATGGACTGGGAGACTGGTGATGTTGATATGTCCAAGGCCACTTCTTTGCTGGCTCACAATGGCCGAGTCATTGACCTGACTAAGGGCAAGCGCCATGGTCCTAGTGCCAACTACATGGAAAAGATTGACTTTGAAAGCTCTTTCCGTAGGCATGATGTTAGCATTACTGTTGAGTACGACGGTTGCAGAGTGAGTCAGAAAACTACTTATTTCTGCTTAAGTAGGTTACTTTATTAAACCATGATATTTTGGCCTTTCAGCATCGTCAACCTGGCACCTCCACTAAGATGCGCATTGAGGCCCGCGATACTCAGCTGCTTCCAATCATCGATTTCACCGTCAGGGACTTTGATCATACGGGTAGAAGCACCCTGAGTCTAGCGGTCAAGGCCGTCTGCTTTAAGAACTAGTATGTAACTATTTTCGCCTTATCAACACCATCACCATCATCCTTAGGCGCATAGTAACAAACGCCACTTCGCTATGGAACAGAATCAACGTTAACAACGGCACATTTCTACCGGCTCGTTTCTTGATCCTCCTTCATCTTGCCCTCACTCTTCCCATTACCCCTCTCCCAAATTTGTCCTCTGCGCTGATCTTTCCAAGTTTATTATTTTGTGGGAGATTTGTGTTGAGAAATCGTTGTGCAACCTGTGGCTTTGAATTGTAAGAAAATGTCCTTGTGAAATTCTTGGCAGATACATATGTACCATTTTTCGGGTGGTTACTAGTTGGTGGGTGGTTTACAAAATTTTGCCAAGAGAAATTGTACCCGTTTTGTAAGGGGTTAAGAGGAGATAAGAGCCTTAAGGGGATGGAACGCTTAACGTTTTCGGTTGATTAAGAGGCCACTTAAAATTTGCTTTACCTAGAGGATTAATTATTTAATTGGTGTGGATTAGAACATTGATTTGGTTTCATTCCAAACGTCATCCTTGAAGACGGAAGATTACATAATGCTGGGGCGGATTATGGACTGTCGACCTACGGAATATCCGATTGCCAGCCCACCCGGCAAAGAGGCAATGGCTAAGCCCCTATGTGATCCATTACCAAAACCAAGGTTTAAACAGCTAATTAAGTATTGCAGCTAGCACTGAAATTCTTGAAAAATAAACACGGAAATAGCAAACAATACCCTAGCAATTCAACTCAGGCATGCCATGCTTTGAATTAGAGTTGAAGTTAGCAGTACGTATGGTCATGGAATAATTTGTGCACGAACAATTTCATCATAAAAGTTGTTCATAGTCTCTTGGAAATTCTGGCCTTACTGGCGTCAGTATGAACAAGCATGTGATCATTGGTACAAGTAACTTCTACTTCCACCATTTGTGTGGCTACGCTTATGTTTGTGTGTAGTTTTCTCGAAAATAAATATGTTTTCTGCTTCATACTCCCGCCCTCTATTAGGTCTACCATATTGATGAGTTTGTTTTTATATGTGTATGTGTGCGCGTAGAACTATCTAGAGCCTGTACTTAATTTATTTGCCTCGTAAACGCGGCTCCACGCCACAATGTTTATTTTGCACAAGACGTACAAGGATAGAATTCCGTATTCTAGCTCTAAATACAAGCTTATACATTAAAAGGTAACTGTATCTTATTTACCTCAAAGTGAATGCCAAAGACATCATGCGCTACAATCACTTGTAATTCGGAATGCTCTCTACTGGGAAAGGCACATATCCCAAATATTTAGTCTGTTCTAAAGAAGGTGGTGGTCGCAATGTGCATACTATTCACGGCCCCGTAAAAGTTGCCTTCTGCTTGAGAAAACTCCAAATTTTAAGTTCTTTCCTAAATTTTAAGTCATGCTCTAAATGTGAAATCAGGCTAATTAGATATTGTTGCAGCTTAGTGCTACTGAAACAAATCAGTAGCAGAATTTACAACCACTAACAGTGAAATACTACTGTTTTTATGGCATTTTTATTATGGAGCATATTTATTGAGAGAAAATCCAACTTTCTTCTTGTCTGCCCAATAATGAGCAATATTTTTTAACTAAAGGAATAACTCTTCATATCTGGGTGGATGTGAAAATTTTCAAAAGAAACTTATTAGAAGACAACCAAACCACAATTTGTTTTAAGGAAAATCGCTCACTTTTGTTAGGCCTGAAGGCGTAATAGCCCGTATTAGTTTATAGGCCTGGCTAGTATATACCGATAAAAGGCCAGGGGACAAAAACTATGAACAGGATGTCATGACAACAGGATGCAAGCCGAGCCCCCTGGTTAAATGTGCATTTAAAACAAATGCCATTCAGTACCACATAAATAAAATGACTTACAGTTTAGATGGAGTCAATGGTTGAGAGACAACACCAGTGGAGTCCGTGTGCCTGTCAAGTGATGCAAAATAGCTAGGCACCACCCACCGTGGTTTCAGAGGTGCATATTAGCTGCTCACTGGGTATGCCCCACAGTGCCAATCACGGCCGGGCCCATCAAACTGACGCCGGCCTCTATATCCACCTTAAATGGACATCCGATAAAGCCGCATTGATAGTCAAGAGGAGCAGCTAAGAGGTGTAAGCCCTGACTACAGAGCAAAACAAAGGATAGTTATGTGCTCACAGTTTGTTACCAAAATTTTTTGTATTTTTTTGGTGCTTAATTCCCTTTCTTCAACACCTCAAATCTGACCAATCAGAACAAACTAAATCCAACTTATTTAAATGTTATTGCACAAAAATTGTCCAAAGCTTTCGATGCTAACTGCTTCTTTTCACTGCTATAAATAAATCATCAAAGTGGAATCAAAGCACATTGTTAGTTTTTGCTACATTGACCCCCTGTTTGGAAATTATACCTTGGAAACAACCTGTCAAAATCATTTTGCGATGCTTTTTTGTGCAGTGTCACATATATGTGACACATGATTTTCATTTGTTTATGATAAATATTGTTGCGCTAAGCCACCTCTCGCACATACAAGATTGGTAAAGTTCAAAGCATTGGAATAGATGTTAAATGCTTCAAGTCTCAGGATAATTGCACGGAAGCAGCATAACTTGTTAGAACAATAAAGTATCCGAGTGGGCGTGGCATCCACTTTTTCTTTGAACACATGATAGTGACCCCATTCGCCAAGTCAACATCTAGAATTATCCACTAACTTCAGTCTACTTTTCGGGAAAATAGACCTCTAGGTGTAAAGTTTCCAAAAACCTTTAAAATAAGTGCATTTAATCACTTAAGCACCTAAGAGGTCATCATATCCACTCATGTATAGGACTGGATACTGGTTGACTTTCATACCAGAAGAGGAGTGTACAATTCACATACCGTGTATAGCATCAAGACCTCCCTGAAGACGGCAGTAGACATACTGCTTGGGAAGGATATGGGTGGCCGAAGCACAGAAGGGCACCCCGGGCCGAGGTAAACTGGCGAAGCCCTAAGCGGTCCGTCACTAAACCCGAGGGTTAAACAAACAGTTAAAATATTGCCTACAGATTAATTACTCTTGCTTTTTGATCTCATTGTAAGGGTGAATGATTGCTTGCTTCAGCTCCACCACCTGGCACCGTGTGAAGGCGAATTTTGACAGGCTTTATGTTTACACCACCATTTTACTTTCGGCACCTCCACACACTCCATTAATCAGTTTTTCATAAACTACCTACTTCCACCCCAAAATCTCACGAATTAAACGGGTGTTTCACTTTGATATGAATCCATTTTTGTTTAAAATCACAAAAATTCATCCGCTCCCATTTGACACAGTGGAAAATGTGAGGGAGCATTTTTGTGCTACTTCTAATGGGTTGGCAAATAACTCTTTATTGCATGGGAATAGGGCGTTCCGCCTTTTACTACTTAATGACTCTGAACCCTTCGCTTTACCTGATATGAAGCTACGTTCCAGTTATACGCAGGCAAATGGTTAGGGGTCTTTGGGTGGTATCCCACTGTTTCTTCTTCAGTAAAGTTATTCCAAGATAAAAAGATGTCTGCGTAAAGCATTGCGACTAAGGAAAAGCAGATTTGCAATCTACACCTAATGTTCGCAAGTAAGCGAACCCACACCCTAGCAAAAATCGCTTCCCCTCCGACGGCTAGGCACGGACAGGCACGTTGCAGTCTGGGTGATATGCTTGATTTTAACAGAACCAGACGAGACGTTACTAGGAGGTGTTGACAACGCGACATTAAAAACGGGTTCTCCTTACGATCCACCTATAACTCGAAAAAAGAAGCCAATTTGCATTACAGCACAAGTAGTTGTAATTCTATATACACTGCTACGGCAAATACGTAACATTAGGCGGGTTTGGAGTTACCTTTAAAAAAAATATAAAAAGACAGCCCCATCATCAATCGCTCCCTTTAAGTTGTGAAAAGCGAATTGATCGCAAGGTATCTGGAGAAATAAATATACCCAATCCATCTACTTTGTAGTGCCAAGAATTGAGTAGAAGGAACATTCTGCGCAGAAATCCACACCACCACCTCCTCCACCATTAGAAGTTAGCTGCGTCGCAAAATCCCTCTCTAATGAGAACGTGCTTACAGATGAGTTAAATTAGAGAGCAATTGGATCGCATTCCCACCCACCGATTCTCGAATCGAAAAGCTGAACTCCCTGAGGGCAATGTTCGCCTATCCAGTTTGAAGCCTGGGCCCTCCTAGGAAGTTATTGTCACCTCGCAGAGGGGTCAATCACCCTCGTGAATGCCAATTTGGTGGGGATTTGAAGGGGTCCGCGTAAGCAAATAGCATTCAGTGACAGTAATGTGGAATGTCTTAATGCCTTACCATCAAATGGTTCGGTAAAGCGAAGTCAAGGTCTGTCATCTCCCCACGTGACTGCAACCAATGGGCACATCGAATTCCATGATGTCATTTTGACGGTATAATGGGATGATTGTGGACGAATCGGAGTTGCCTTGTCAGAGCTCCATTTAGATTTGACAGTTTTGGCACCCCCTTCACATAGGAGTCATCCTGGCGTCACAAATACGTGACCCGTGCTCTTTATAGGTGCATTGGTAACTGACTGCACACAATCATATCGGTTGGGTTTAAACAAGTAAAGTCAACGAGCTTTTCAAGTTTTGGGCAGCAGTTAATGCATTGCTGTTTTTTTTAGTAATGGTAGACGCATCGCCGGTTTTCTGTGTCGGTTGGTTTTCCTCTAAGACACTGGCAACGAACGTTTGACAAGTTTGGTTACCTTTAAAGATTGGCTTTTAGGAATACAGGGAAAAAAATTCCACTAATTGTCTAGACGATCATTTCTACTCATAATACAAAAGTACAATCTTGCAGGCCCAAAATGATCTCAATGGTGGGAGAGCTTTGGTTTGCCCAATTTTGCTCATGGTCTGCCAGTGTTTAAAGTGGGGAATTTTAGGTTGTCATTCGTCTTTTGCTTTAATCAACGACTTTTGGCACCCAAATAAAGGCAAAACATAGGAGTTTGCCGGGGGTGAAGACAGCGCCAATGTAGCCTGACCATGAGGCTCCGCGCAAATTACTAAAGTCTATG